AGAAATTTCTCCTTCCCCCCTCCCATTCATGAAAAGGGCCTCGCAATTCGTATGTCGCCGACGTCCACGTTTGGTTTGGCTACGCCACTGATCTCGAGTACCAAAGTCTCGTCTCGTCTCGAGTTATACAGGGTGTCCGGAAAAAAGCGTGAAAATTCTTCACTACGTAGTGGAGGGCAGTTTATATGGGATTCTATGCAATGATATGAAATTTTTAAAAATAACATGGAGTTTCGAATAAATAAAATTTCAAAAGAAAATACGCGGAATTTCGTCAAGAATACATGGAATTCCATTAAAATTATATTTAATTCCAAGAAATGAAGGGTTAATTCAGTAAAATAATATGGAATGACGTAAAATTTTCAAAAATGACGTGATATTTCAAAAGAAAATACTCGGAGTTCCTTTAAGAATACATGGAATTCCAATAAAATTACATTTAACTCCAAGAAATGAGGTGTTACTTTAGTGAATTTATATGGAATTCCATAAAATGACGTAAAATTTTTAAAAATGACGTGGAATTCCGAGGAAATCATGTAAAATTCCAAAGGAAAGTGAGCGGAATTTTGTCGACATGGATTTCCGTTAAAATTACATTTATTTCCAAGAAATGACGTGTTACTTTAGTGAATTTATATGGAATTCTATGAAATGATGTAAAATTTTTAAAAATGACGTGGAATTCCGAAGAAATTGCGTGAAATACCAAAAGAAAATACGAGAAATTTTGTTGAGAATACATGGAGTTCCGTTAAAATTAGGTATATTCAATTCCAAGGAATGACGTGATTTTAATAAATTTCTATGGAATTCTATGGAATAACATAAAATTTCTAAAAATGATGTGAAATTTCAAAAAAACTACGCAAAATTCCAAAAGAAAAATACGCGGAATTTCAGTGAAATTACGGAAAATTCCGGTGAAATTACATTAATTCCTAAAACACGACGTGTAATTCCGTACTCTATCTTCAGATCTAACTTCCAGTTTAGCCGAAAGTGCTTATGCTTTAAACAATTTTTTTTAAATTGATCTCACTACTGGCTGAACCGAAAGTGGAATCTGAAAATTAAGTAGGTACAGGGTTATTGGTTATAAATGTCACCCCCTCTATATTTTTTATTTGACATTTTAGAAAAAAGTGTCCCAAATAAAAAATTTATGGTTGAAATTAAATTTTTTGAAAAACTCACTTTTGCATATACAGAGTATTTCAAAAAAGCTGGTAGTGCTCCAACTTTCCTATTTTAAATTGAATACCCTGTATATCATTCAATATTCGGATTCTACATAAAATTCTGAGCAGATTTCATGTGATATACCCTATACCTAAGTTCAACTGTTTTGGAAATATTGACACTTGAAAATTGACTTTTTTGCAACTTTGACAGGCTGTAAATCCTAAACGGTTAATTTTAGAGCAAAACCGATCTTACATTCTTATCTAATATTTTTATAAACTAGCAGTTGACACCAATATTTGACATCAACTTTGAATTTAATCCATTATGATTGAAAATTCCAATTTAATTTAATCTTCGGTTAAATTCAAAGTTGGTATCAAATGATAGCTTGTGAAACTATTAGAAAAAAATGTAAGACGGTTTTGCTCAAAAGTTAACCGTTTAGGTTTTACAGCCTGTCAAATTTGCAAAAAAAGTCAATTTTCAACTGTCAATATTTCCAAAACAGTTGGACTGAGGTATAGGGTATATCACATGAAATCGGCTCAGAATTTTACGTAGAATCTGAATATTGAATAATATACAGGGTATTCAATTTGAAATAAGAAAGTTGGAGCACTACCAGCTTTTTTGAAATACCCTGTATATGCAAAAGTGAGTTTTTCAAAAAATTTAATTTCAACCATAAATTTTTTATTTGGAACACTTTTTTCTAAAATGTCAAATAAAAAAAATAGAGGGGGGTGACATTTATAACCAATAACCCTGTACAGTCGTGAGCATAAAAAGTGGGACACCCGACTGACAGGTCTTGTCATTTTTCTCGATTTTAGGTAAATCAGTCTTTTCTCTACAATGGATTTTTTGTCAAATATGACATTCCCTGCCATTGCCGTAGGTATAGCTGATGAGCTCGTTTTACAATAGGAAAAAACGGGTGTCCCACTTTTTATGCTCACGACTGTATATAGAAATCATCCTATTAATTGTTAGTATTTGTTAACGCAACATTATTTATAAATTTGGTTTCTTCTCATTCTTATTAAAGAATTAATTAAATGTCAATTTCGCGTAAAACACACAGGAGTGTATTTTCTACGACCCTGCGCCGATCGAGGCAAACAGCCTGAAGATTTGGATTTACACACTAGCTAAATGGTACTTGATATGCACGTTGCATTTTCTACCGGTTCCCTGTTTCACGTTCGGAAAGTCTATGTCTTGTGCCGTTAAAAAGAGACCTTGAGTGCCTTAAGTCGATGGTGATACGTTGGTGGTTGTGGAGAACCGTTTTCCAAGGGATCCCCTTATATATGCACAGCTTATAAGAAAACCCAGGTGAGTGGTAATAACTTTTGTGTGTTTCGACAACCCCTTTGGAATCATTTTCATTTCCATTTCAATTTGTTTGCGTGATTTTCCAGTCAGTCCAGTTCACTAAATTTCAAATACTATTGCGTAAACAGTATTAAAATTTACTAATTTCATATTCAAATATCCCAGAATAATCCAATAATAAAGCTATGGAAGAATTTTTTTCTATTGTAATCTCGAAACTCGAGACTACGCGAGACTCTCGCCGAGTCTGGTCTCGTCTTGTCGAGACTTCACAAGACGAGACCAAATGCCAGTCTCGTCTCGAAAAGTCGGGACGAGACGAAACCGAAACCAGTCTCGAGTCTCGCGGCATCACTAACAAAGAAAACTGTGCCGCTTATAAATCGCAGTACATGTTACGTATTACGACGCGTACTATCTCTAGTTAGGTATCCTGAGATGCAATTATCTTTTTCTACTACCGTGCGTAAAGTACTCACTTTACGCACTATTCAGAAGACGTAAAATTTCACTTCACGCATTAGTGTGTAAAGTAATTCATTTCACACACTAGTGCGTGAAGTAATGTCAATGACAGATGTTGGCACTGTCAATTTGGAAGTGCGTAAAGTGGAAATTCTTCACACACTAGTGCGTAAAGTATTTGACTAAATTTATTTTTTACACATATTTGATTGGTAGTAGAAAAAAATTTGTATGCAATACGTGCGTAAAGCACCTTTTTTCACTCATGTGATTGTCGCACTCGCCTTCGGCTCGTGCGTCAAAATTCACATTCGTGAAAAAAGGTTCACTTTACACACTTGTTGCATAAATAACTATTATGCGAATCGAAGTTCCAGCAGTTTAATTCAATATCTGACATATACTCTGAGCTATCTAACTTAAATAGTTTCAAGGGTCCTGGTCCGGATAAAATTCACCCTATTCTTCTTAAAAATTGCCCTTTCTATACTTGCCACTCATCATTGAAACCTTTGAAGAAATGACATACAGTTTCCTATTCCGGTTACAAAGTGACGTCATCGATACCACCCAAATTTGAGCGGTATGTCCCGGTTTGTTGAACCGAAGCCACGTGAAAAGGGCTAATGGGATTACAGATTGCGTTATTATCCGTCAGATTGCATACCTGACAGTTTATCAGAAGGGGAATAAACCAGCCCTAATTATAATAACTGTGATCTCATCAACAACATTAATTTTTAGTTATTTATTATACAAGACGGTAAAAAGATGCTTTACCTGTGAGTGGAAAATCTTGATTCACGAGCGACGAAGGAGCGAGTGGATTAATTTCACGAACAGGTAGAGCTTTTTTACCGTCGTGTGTAATATTCTATTTTATTCTTGAGCAACTTCTTATTTATTACAATTACTAAAATTATACATATTTAGGTACCTACCTATATTGTTACAAAGTAACAAACTGACACATTTCTGGTGTTGTCAATCATACAAGATAACTTAACAGATTTCTGACCACATGAGTGGGTAAAATTGACGTATGAGTGGGTACAGTTGACATATGAGTGGGTAAAATTGACATATGAGTGGGTAAAATTGACATATGAGTGGGTAAAAATTGTTCGATTTCACTATTTCCAATAAAGTGTTACTTTGACAGTGAGTTTTGAGTCGATAAAATGATAATTTACCGTTAGCAATAGAATAAAGAGTATTTATTAAGGTACGAGTAGGCTTTTACCAAGAGATTTATTTATTATTATAAATACGTCATCCCCTTTAAGCAAAATGCTATTTGTGATCAAATAATAATGAAGCATGATTTGGACATTTCTTCTGTCAAGGAATGCTCGTTGAGAAAATTATTGCGCTCATCTTAGGATTTGTTGCTATATTTCCTCTTTTAGGTCTAAATATGTAGTTTGTGGGCACTTTGCTTGTAATTACCTAGGCTGTTTTCAGAATAAATAAATAACAGACCTTGAGGTTCTATGTTTGTCACCCGATTTGGCAAAGTAAACCTTATATAGTTATAGTTACCCTAACCAATTGACTTCGGGTATGTTTCTTATACCACATTTGGAATTTTATCAGTTATTGCGTATTATAGTTTTTATAATACTCGTAAATAAGTAAATAGTGTATGCGCATGAACAAGAGAAAAAGGGAATCAGTACTAATTCGTCCGGGCTACGAAAACGACAGGTCGCACGGTGATTTTCGCGTGTACCGGTTGCGTTCTTCGGTTGTGCCATACTACGGGCCTTTGGGCAAATAGGTAATCGTTACAGTGCGGCTATAGACTATACTGACACTAATTTAGTGTATTGGACAATGAACATCCAAGCATTGGATCATAATTCCTAGTACACTAGTCGCTATATAAAATTAGTGACATTGACCACCAGGATTTTTGATGCCCAAATATGTCTCTCTACACCAACAACTCAATTATTTAAACATTCCCTTTCGTTCAATACATCAAACAAAAACAAATTCCTTACCATTATAATCCATCATACTGCTCGGCGTGGAACTGATATCGCTCGAACCGTCGTCAAAGACCCGCCGGCCTTTGGACATCAGTCCCGGCAGGCTGCCGGGGCCGGACGGCGACGGCAAGTGGCGCAGTCCCATGCCGGGGGACGGAGCTCTGCGCGGGGGCGTTGCTCTGCCCAGGCCCGAGTCCGTGTCTCCGAACCTGTAGGCCAAACTGTCCTGGTCCGTACTGGAACCTGCGCAAAAAGAACTTTTTTTGTGAAAACCACTTTGGGTATGGAATATTTGAAGGTTTTTGAATTTTCGATTAAGAGTTATTTTGGTTGTTGAGGTTTGGCTGTGGCGAAATGGATTTCATTGGTTAGATCATCGAAAATATCTGGCCAATAAAAAAAAAACTTTATAGCTTAATAATGTAGTGACAGTCTCAGAACATTTTTGAAGAAAAATCGTCAGGGCCCGAGGTAGAATCATTTTTCAAGCCGAGTCCGTCAAAATGAAAACAGGTGAGATGCGTATTAGGCAATTCAATCCATCTGTCAAAAAGGAAAATTCAATATGGCGTGGCGGCCAAGCAAGTTTGTTTTGAATATGTTTTTATGCGTATTTTAAATTATTTTGCTTAGAGTTTTGCTTGCAACTTTGATTTTGATTAGTGATAAAATATTTCTTGACTATGTACCTTGACTATTAAATCGGGCAGAAACTAGATATTTTTTTTGTATTTTTTGGCCCATGTGTGACCGCCACGCCATCTTGAATGTCACGTGGTTTGAATTGCCTAATGTGCGTGAAATGCTAAAACGGTTAAGGATGTATTTCCGCTACCCCGATGATCATCTTGAACGTTTAAGAGGAAGCAAGCACTTTACGTCACTTGATATGGCATCAGGCTACCACCAAATACCAGAGTCTAGAGCAAAAACAGCATTCATTACCCCGGATAGGCATGATGAATATAAACGAATGCCATTTGGATTAGCAAATGCTCCAACTGTATTTCAGCGAAGTATTAAGTTTTTGGATCATTAAGATTCAATACAGCACTGGTCTACATGGATGACATTTTGATTGCGGCAGTTGTCTTTGACGATGGATATAGACCTTTATCAGAAATCCTAAAAATATTTAGTAACGCTGGACTTATCCTACACATGACTAAATGTTTTTTTTTCTCGACAAATCATTGATTATTTGGGACATGGCATATCGGCAGAGGATGAGTCAGGTGCTTACGCTGCTTCCTTATCAGAGAACTGTCATCAGTCAGTCAGTCAGTCGGTTGACGTGAAAGGCAACGACAGGAGGGCGGTGCTCATTGTTTTTTGAGTTTATTATTGTTGTTTCTGAGACTTTTAAGCCACTAGATGAAATGGCGAATTTTTGACAGTTTATGATGAGAATTATCGAAAAAGTTCATGATTCAGCTTCTGAGCTTTATAATCAATTTGCTGAAGCCAAAACCTCAAAAACCAACTGTTGTCTGGATTATTCTGAAATTATTGAAAGTTAATGTTCATTCACCGTCACCTGATTGTAATTTATTTTTATAAGTCTTCCAAACCAGAGATTTAGTATAGGAAAGGAATATTTTTCAAAAACATTATTATAAAAGTAGATAAATAAAAACGTGCTTCTCCTAATCTACAATAATAATAATACATAGTTTGAAATTTTTGAAATAATAAAATATATCAAGAAGTATAATTCACGAGCACAATAATATAATCGGTAGCTATACTATAACCATTTCATACGTTAAAAAAATATATATATATAAAAACGTCTTTTTACAGGGGGGATTACAACAAAACTGTAAAAGGGTGGAGTCAGGCAGGAGTCTCTGAAACCTATAAAAAATAGCGAGAAGGAAAATTAAATAATATGACCAGCACCAAAAATTAATCCTAAGAAAATGATAAAAATTGCTACAAAAACATGTGACTTTTTTTGTGCTCCATAAATGGCGGATTCCAAAAAAATCAGCAATAATGTGTGAAAACATATCATTAGCTCTGTTCCAACAGAAATAAGAACCGTTTCAGAACGTTAATTTCCAGTCGATCAATTCATTTGATGTTCATTTGTCTAGTAGGATAAACGTTTAACTTATTGAAAAATATAGGTGGGTAACTGGAAATTACTGGTTCCGAAACGGTTCTCATGTCGGTTGAAACAGAGCTATTGTTTCTATGTAAAAAAACCGATTTTTTTGAGGAATCCCTCAAATTATTTGAGCTTACAACGTACCAGTAATTCAGGTATTTGAATCAAAAATCCCAAACTTAAATATAAAGTAACACTTCTCTAAAAGCTAAAAAATCAAAGAAAGCCATATTGTAGCAATTTTTACCGTCACAAACCATCGACATATGAATAAATAAAATAAATGTGTGCATGCCCCACGACCAACAACAACAACAGCTCAAGACATTTATTAATTTAAAAAAAAAGAGACGTGATAAAGGGGGTACCTTGAACCAGGCCAATGAGAGAGTGAGCTGAAGTCTTACCGTACAAATTCATCATAGAGCTAGACTTGCGGCCCTTAAAGTTTTGATATGTCGATATCTTAGAACGGCCGCGCACCTGGGCGGGAGAAGGGTCTGCAAAAATATTGGTTTACATAACACTACTTATACGTCAACTGAAATTTTAGAGGTCATGTTGTTTTTCTTTGTTTTAGAGTTTTACATAATATAGGCTAAATTGAAATAATTTTTATGTTATGGTAATACACTTGGAGAGCCTCATATTCCTACTAGGGAAGGTCTTTGGGCTTTGCTTAGAATAAGAAATAATTGCAATCTTGCAGCATTGTTTTTTCTCCTGACTAAACAAATTCAAATAATGTTGTAGTGTTGTTCTCCCTTGAGCACAAAATCAGTTCAATTTAGTCTACCCAAACAATAAATACACTTTCTGCATAAGCGCAACTAGGATCCAAATTTGAGGGGTGCTGCAGCACCATTTCTTGTTTTTTTTTTTTCATTTTTTTATTTTATTTTTATTTTTTTTTTTGGAGTTTGATGGAAAGAAAATGAGACGTGTAAAAGGTTAGTTTCACGAGGGTTTGAACTTACGTCATCATTTGCCTTTTTTTAAAAAAAAATAGTTTTTTTTTTATGTCTGCAGTTACGAACAAACATATAGGTCGTTGCACGGCACGCAGGTTTTTACTTACGTCATCGATGACGTCATAACCTGAAGAAAAAGTTATGTCATAGATTAATTCATGGAGCACCTTCGGAATTATTGTTTTGTGATAAATTTTTTAACCTAGAAGAGAATTTATTCAGTTATCCGAAAATATATAAATAAAATTTCTCCTAGAGTGATTTTTCACTGAAAAATTTTCAAAATTTTCCCTCTGCTAGTTTTCCAGGAAAAAATTAAAATTTAAGAGGATGAATTTTCCTTAATTTTGCTTAAATAAGTCAATTTTCCACCATTTTTCCTGAGTAATTTTTTATGAAAAATTTTGAAATTTTGCTTTAATGAGATCCTCACTTTCCTCTTTTTTCTGGAAAACTGAAAAATTTTGAAATTTTTATATAATGAGCAGCTCCTCATTTTCTTCTTTCTCCTGGAAAAATTTCACAAGTTTTGCATTATTAGTTTTCCAGAAATAAATTGAAATGTGAGAGGATGAATTTTGCTTAAATAAGTCAATTTTCCAGAATTTTTCCTGAAGTGATTTTTCACTGGGAAATTTTGAAATTTTGCTTTAATAAGATCCTCACTTTCCTCTTTTTTCTGGAAAATTTTCACAATTATCCTTTCATCAGTTTTCTAGAAAAACAATAAAATGTAAGAAAATGAATTTTGCTTAAAAAAATCAATTTTTCCTTAGTTTTTGCATTTTCGAAAAACTTTTAATTTTCGTAATTCACCCGTAATTTTTTGTACCCATTTTTAATTCTCCTAATTTCTTAAAAAAACTTCGTTATTTTTAAATTCCCCCCACCAAGTTTTGTAATTTTCATAATTTCAAAGATTCGTGATTTTCGTAATTCCTATAATTTTTGTAATTTTTGTAATTCTCTTTATTTTTTAATTCCAGTAATTTTTCGTAATTCCTGCAATTTTCCGTAACTTTTCAAAAATTGCGAAAAAGTGATGTCAGAATCGCAGGAAAGGGACGTTCGAATTACGAAAAATAGGAGTAAAAATTACAGAAAAATGAGGTTGGAAATGTTGGAATTGCGAAAAAGTTGAGTAAAAATGGCGGAAAGCAAGGTTATAATCGAGAAAAAATGAGGTTATAAATACGAAAAACAAAAGTAAAAATTTTGGAAAAATTAGGTTGAAATTGCGGAAATGTGAGGCGAAAATCCCGGAAAAGTGAGCTTATACTTATTGAAAAATCAGGCAAGAATAACGAAAAAGTGAAGCAAAATTCGCGGAAAAATTTGTTGAAATTGCGAGAAAGTGAGTTTGGACTTTGAAATTGCGGAAAAGTGAAGGTGAAATTACGAAAAAAAATTGTTGAAAGCCGTTTTTCTCAAATAAATTTCGTTATTTTCATAATTTTTCCTTAGTTTTTGCAATTTTCGCAAAACTCGTAATTTTCGTAATTTCCATAACTTTTTCGTAAGTTTCCAAAATTCATCGTAATTTTTCTGTAATTCCCGTAATTTGTTAATTTCTGTAATTTCTCAAAATATTCAGTTACTTATTTTATAATTCCCCCTAAGTTTTTGTTACTTTCAAAAATTCGTAATACCCGTAATTTTCAATTTATTTTTTTTTGTGAATTTTCATTATTTCCGTAATTTCTCAGATAATTCTCCCTATTTCTATAATTCTTCCTTAGTCATTGCAATTCTTGGAAAACTCGTAATTTTCGTAATTCCCGTAACTTTTTCATAAATCTTGTAACTTTCCAAAAATTATCGTAATTGTTTCGCAGTTCTCGTGATTTTTTCTTATTTCTTTCAATTTTTAAATTTCCTGTAGTTCCTCAAATTTTCGTAATTTTGTAATTCCCGTAATTTCTCAAAAAACTCTGTTATCTTTATAATTCGCCGCCAATTTGTTGTGATTCTCAAAAATTGGTAATTCCCGTATTTTTTTTTCTTGGAATTTTCGAAAATTCTCAAATTCCCGTCATTTCTCAAAAAATTCTCGTTAATTTCATAATTCCTTCTTAGTTTTTGCAATTTTCGGAAAATTCGTGAATCCCGTAGCTTTTTGTAATCCTTGGTATTTTCGTAATTTTTTGAAAATTGTCACAATTTTTTTAATTCCCGTGATTTTTTCGTATTTTTCATAATTTTTAAATAATTCCTGTAGTTTTCAGATTTCCGTATTTTTTTAATTCCTGTAATTTCTCAGAAAACTTCGTTGTTCTGATAATTCCAAAAACATGTAATTTTCGTATTTTATTTTGGGAATTTTCGAAATTTTGTAATTCCTGTCATTTCTCAGATAATTCTCGTTATTTTCATAATACCCCCTTAGTTTTTACAATTTTCGAAAAACTCGAAATTTTTGTAATTCCCATTATTTTCGTAATTTTTTAATTTCCGTAATTTTCCCCTAAGTTTTTGAAATTTTCGAAAGTTGGTAATTTCCGTTTTTTTTTTTGGGGATTTTCGAAATTTTTTAATTCCTGTCATTTCTCAGATAATTCTTGTTATTTTCTAATTCCCCCTTATTTTTTTCAATTTTTGGAAAACTTTTTAATTTTCGTTATTCCCGCAATTTTTCGCGCTTTTCCTATCGTGATGTTTTCGTAATTCCAGTAATTATTTGTATTTTCAATTTTTTTAATTTTTAATTTTCCTAATTTCCAAAAAAATTCGGAATTTTCTAATTCTCCCTAAGTTATTGTAATTTTCGTAATTTCCCAAGAACTTGTGATTTCCGTTATTTTGGGATTTACCGTAATTCACGTAATTATGACTTTGTAACTCTTTCCCGTAATATTTCGTAATACCCGTAATTTTTGTAATTTTCGAAGTTTTTCGTATTTTTTTCAATTCCCGTAATTTTTATAATTTCTCAGAATTCCCGTAAATTTGCGTCATTTCCGTCATTTTACTGGGTACCGTAAATTTTTTCTTGTAATTTCTTGTTAGTTTTCGTAACTTTTCATAAATTAGTAATATGTATTTAAATAATTAACGTAATTTTGGAGTAACTTCGTAATTCTTTTGTGTAATACTTGGCAATTTCCATAATTTTTGTAATTCCAGCAATTTTTTGTTATTCCGTGATTCTCGTCATGTTCCGTGATTCTTGTAAATGTTTGCAATTCTCATAATTTTTCATATTTTACGTACTTTAACGTAATTCCCGTAATTTTTCGTAACTTTTCAAAAATTATCGTTATTCTGGTAATTTTGAAATGAGGAAAAATGAAGATAAAATCGCGGAAAGTGATGATAAAACCGCAAAAAAAAGAGTCAAAAATCGCAAAAAAAAATATGAGTCAAAAATTTCAAAAAAAGTGAGTTTAAACTCGCGGAAAAGTAAGATGAGACTCACGGAAAAATGAGAATAAAGTCACGAAAAGTGAGGATAAAATCGCGGAAAATGAAATAGGAATCGCGGAAAAGTGAGGATAACATCGCAAAAAAAAAGTGAGACAAGAATCGCGGAAAAATGAGATATTTACAGAAAAGTGGGTTTACAATCGCGAAAAAGTGGATTTAGAATCGCGGTAAGTGATGGTAAAATCGTAAAAAAATGAGTCAAAATTTGCAAAAAAAATTATTCAAAAATCACAAAAAAAGTGAGGTCAAATTCGCGTAAAAGTGAAGATAAAATCGCAAAAAAGTGGGTCAAAATTGCAAAAAAAATGATTCAAAAATTTCAAAAAAAGTGAATGTGAACTCGTGAAAAAGTGAGATAAGAATCGCGGAAAAATAAGGTAATATTTGCGGAAAAGTGGGTTTACAATCGCGGAAAAGTAAATTTAGAATCGCGGAGAAGTGATAGTAAAATCTAAGATTTCTTAATTATGACGTCATCGATGACGTAAGTAAGTACAAAAAGTACAAAAAAAATAAATAATTTAGTTGCACTGATTTTTTATATTAGTTTTAGGTAGTGCCACTGTAGGTAGTGCTATGGTGAGATGCATAATGGGAGTGCTAATTTTTGCTTTAGGGGTGCTTAGCACCCCCCTAGTTGCGCCTATGACTTTCTGCTTCACACATTTCATGTTTCAGCTGACGTTATCGACACTAGAATACCTAAAAATGAATACGGTGCGGCAACTGCTCCACTACTATACCTCCTGTAACCAACATCAAAAATATAGAAAACAAAATACCATTCACAACTAAAAAAATCAAATAAACAATGCATCTTGGAGGTGGCATATAGTAAAACCGGGGAAGGTTGTAAAATAGAAGAAGTAGCGTGCCATGTTTCACTACCAAAAAAAAAAAAGTCGTTGCAACAATTTTGCGTTTGCAGCTGAATGCTGAATGGGTCGAGGAGCACTTACCGCGACTAGTTTTGTACGAGCTGCGTCGTCCTAGGGTCTGGTTGGCACTGTGACACGGCGACATTCCGTGACTGTCGTCTGGAGATTCTGGAAGAATTATAGAAATCAAAAAACGATAAGTTGTATTACCATAAGCTTATTCCTATAGCGCTTTATAATGTTTTAATCACAGCGGAAGCTAGTTATTCTGACACAATTGTCAATTCTTCAAGATTGCTTTCGTTTTGATTCTCTCTTCATGTATGAATGCTTCTGCCATTTTTCTATTTAAATATTGGAACCGGGTAAAAATTGAATCACTCATATGGGGATCTGCTTCTTGCACCTAACAAAAATAGCATAACAGGGTTTACAGCAAGCCTAAGATGTGATATTAACTCTACTTTATTTTCCAGTTTTAACAAACTGCTGGCCTCATGTTTCTGAGCAAAAACTATCTTCGGTTTTCTTAATCTTCAACTCCAACTCAACGAATACTAATGGATCAACCAGAACAGAAGAACCTGCAGCTACCGAAAATACAAATTCCAATTTTTCATGGAGGGTATGAAAACTCAGGCTCAGAAGAATCATCCATGAAAACTCAGCGTTGACCAAAGCCGACAAGATGCACTACCTAAAAACAAATACCAGGAGAAAAGTAAACAAACTATAATCTAAGACTTAGAAGTAATTGCAGCAACTACGATTCAGCATGGGATCTACTTCAAAAGCGGTATGAAAACAAAATGCTTCTAATATTTAATCTCCTAGACAAGCAACTAGACCTACCAAAAGTCTCAAGGGAGAACGCTGAGAAAGTAAAGCAGCTGCATGATGTCACCAGCGGAGTGTCTACAAGCACTAAAAAATCTAGACCTCAAAGTTGGCTCCCATAATAATCCGAATGACAATCAGAAAGTGAGACTCCGAAACTAACCGCCAATATAATAGTCAACCATCCAAGGACCTTTTTTTTCAGTTATACATGTAAACCCCATACTTTGTGATTTTAGGGGTATCGGACTCCCCCAATTTGCCATTATTTTTGTCGGCCAAGTTGATTTCCGTGATTTAGAAATAAAAATCAAACATTATTCGTGAAATTAGATTTTCATGTATCAAGAAACATAACCACGTCAGATCGACATTTTGGGGGTATCGGACTCCCCCAATTTGCCATTATTTTTGTCGGCCAAGTTGATTTCCGTGATTTAGACATAAAAATCAAACAGTATTCGTAAAATTAGATTTACCTACACGTATCAGGAAACATAGCTACGTCAGATCGACAAGTCGCCTGCGCGCATACGTGCCATTTCCGAGAAAAGTCGTAGAGGAAAAGTTATAGGACTTGATGTAAGCAAGCCACTCACAAAGTATGGGGTTTACATGTATAACTGAAAAAAAAGGTCCTTGGATGGTTGACTATAAGCAAAGCCTTGAAAAGTCTCACGATGTTACAGAGTTAACAGAATTCACGCAATTCTCGGAAAGAAAAATCCAGCCACTAGAAAATATCCCAGGATCAGAACGCATCCAAATCCTGAGAAAAAACACAATACCTCAAGCTTTCTGTTCTGCCAAGACCAACACATAACGTACCACTGCCAGAAATTCAAAGGAATTTCAGCACAGGAAAGAAATAGATATGTTCAAGAAAAGCATATCTGCCACAACTGTCTCAGCCATGATATCAATAAGAGATGTTTGAGCCATATAAAATGTAGCAGCTGCAGTCGTCAGAACCACAGGCTTCTTCATATGGACATACAGCAACAACATTCTAACAGGCAACTCGGTATGATTAGGGCTCTCGGGAACGGGGTAGTAGGCATACTCCGATTGAGTTCATTTTTGATATTGTACATATAGAGGCCGCTGAAAGAAATGTTTCCAAAACAAAAATTGACCTTAGCCATGACCTTGACCGTGACCTTTACCAGGATGTGTATGACCTTGAAGGCTAAAACTCGTTGTGTAGGATATTTCTGATGCATTGATATTTACATGAATTTCACTGGTCAAGGTCACGGGTAAGATCAATTTTTTGTGGAAAAATTTCTTTCAAAAATGAACTCCATCGAACTACGCCTTCTACTCCGTTTCCGAGAGCCCAAACTGAAAATGCGTGGTTGCCGTATCTCTGGATGTGTATTACTTTGAAGGCTTGAACTCGGTATATAGGTTACTTGAGATGCTCTCTAACACTATACAAGTATTCAGCACGATAAACTGGCATTTACGTGAATTTTATTGATCAAGGTCAAGATCAAGGTTACAGTCAAGGTCAATTTTTTTGTGAGAAAAATTTCTTCTGGCATCCTATATATGTGTACCTAAAATGAACTTGATCATTAAACGCCTTATAACCCGTTCCCGAGAGCTCAAAATTTACCGGCAACCCAACTACCAAGACAGGCCGACAGTTACCCCACTGCGAAATTCTCAACGACACCCACCATCAAGAAGAGCTGAACATTATCCATCAAGAGGCGCCATGTCTAACAACGCCAATAGAAATTAAGAAAACGTTTTACTTGCTACAGCACTAGTAGAAGTAAGCACATCAAGTTCCCCTCAAGTCCTAAGGATTCTTATTGAGCAAGGATCACAGATATCCATTATTACCGAGGAAGCTGCAAATCGACTGGGATTGCCACGACACAGTATAAGAGCACAAATCTGAAGAATTGGTGACGGCGAACCAAAAGTCTCTAAATGGTCCATTGAAGCACAGATCAAACCGCGATTTATGAGCTTATTCTCCATAGATATCAAGATGACACCTACACATAAACAGTATGGACAGTTGGAATAATGAAGTGCTAGCCGATCCAACATTCATGACACCAGATGCAATAGAGGTATATTAGGCGCCAAGAAATACGCTAGTATCATTTTGAACGGCATGCAAAAAACTGCAGAAAGCCTGTTGAAACAAAATACTGAGCTAGGTTGGATCGTTTCCGGCCTTATAATATCCGAATCCCCCGCTATTCAAGTTGTCAGTACGATCACTCACTATGAAGAAGACAGACAGCTAACCAAGTTCTGAGAAATTGAAGAAATAGCCCAAGCGCACCAGCTAACATAAGAAAAGCAAGCATGCGAAGAGATTTACGAGAAAACCACAACTCGAAACTCCGAAGGTAGATTCGTAGTTAGAATCCCATTCAGTCAGCAGATGTATTAGGTCACTCCAAACCAAGAGCCGCCGCAAGATTCACGAATATCGAAAGAAAGTTACATCAAGTTCCCAGTGTTGTTGACAGTGATAACTGTAAACCTTTGCCCTTCGAGGTAATGTCTTAACTTTTCTACATCCCATATCACTGCCAAACATTCCTTTTCAGTGACGCTCAACTTTTGTTCTTGCCGCGTTAAAGATCGTGACAGACAACTTATAACTTTCTCGCCATCCTCAAAGTCCTGGGTTAGAACTGCGCCGAGTCCATAGTTGGACGCATCTGTCTGCAAGGTAAAAGATCTACTAAAATCCGGGCAGGTCAAAACGGAAGCAGTAACAAGTGCTTCTTTAATAAGATTAAAAGATCTCTGGCAATCTTCAGTCCAGTTCCATCTTATGTTTTTTTTAGTCAGATAGGTTATTGGCGCCATGACAGACGAGAAATTGGGTATAAACCGCCTGTACCAAGACGCTGTCCCACAAAATCTCCTAATTTCGTGAACATTCGTTGGAGGAGGTATGTTGACAATCGCCTCAATCTTTTCGGGGTTCGGTCGTAATCCTTTGGCGTCGACCAAATAACCTAGACATTCAAGTTGTGGTTTGCAAAAATGACATTTCTTTTTAGAGATCATAAGTCCAGCATCTTTTAGTCTGTCGAATACAATGGCAAGAAATCTTAGATGATCCGAGAAGTCTCTGGATATGATGATTATATCGTCGAGGTAGACCATAACATGCTCCTCCAAATCATAATCAAGAACGCTATCCACAATAGGGTACTTGCATGGAAAATTAAATTGATTATTGTTTATTGCAAACTGTAGGAAATCGAAAAAAAATCGTTACTTTTTTTTCATTTCGCCCAAATATGATTATTTCGGAAGTTATACAAATATTAAGTTTTGTATATATAGATATACTGAGCATGTGCGACGTCATAAAGTATTATACCTGATGACGTCATAGGCATATTTCATAGCGTTGTATCTCCGTCAATTTTTGACTAAGAAGAAAAAGAAAAAACACGTGTTGACTTATTTTTCATGGACTATCGAAATCAGCAATAAAAAATTTTGATGCAAGGGGCCTATTCTCTGCCCAGGTGGCTGGAGCGTTATTCAACCCAAAAGGCATACGAGTGAATTGGTACAATGGTCGTCCGGGAATTGTAAAGGCGTCTTTTTTTGTTATGGCATTTAGTTTTCTAAAATCTATGCAAAAGCGATAGGGGCCATCTTTCTTAGTAGCCAAGCAAACCGGGCTGGACCAAGGGCTTTTGGATAGTTCAATCACTCCTAAACGCAACATTTCTTGTAGTTCGTCATCCATTATCTTCTGTTTCATCGGAGATACTGGGTAGTACCTCTGCTTGATAGGTTTCGTACCAGGCACAGCTCTATTTCGTGATCCGCAACGTTGCAACGACCAAGCACCTCAGGCATTTCGGAAAATTTTCGCTCAACTAAGCTATCCAAAGCCAGTCGCTGCTCTGGTGTCAGAGTGGTTTCATCTTGAACACTACAGACCTGTGCGTCAAATTCGTCGGAAAAATGCCATATATCTTGTTTTAGGTCCGGAACCAACTCCATGGATTTCCAAAAATCTATTCCGAGGATTAAGCGATGAGATAGTGCAGGTAGGACCAGGATGTCAATAATTTTGGTTCTATGCATCAGGGTGACGGGAACTTGAAAATAGCCAGTACTGGTGCAACTTTGTCCGTTTGCCACCGTACAACTCATATTATGTTTTAACATTTGAAGACCTAAGCTTTTTAAAACCTCAAAGCCTGGTAACCCAACAATTGTGTGCGAAGCACCGGAATCGAGCAAGCCTCGCATTTTGCATCCCAAGATAGAAACTTCCAAATATGGTCTTTGATCACCATGGGCATGACCAATGATATAATCCAAAATTATCTTTTCGGGAAAATCTGTAGAAACGACCGATAAATCAAGAATGGAAGAGATCTCACGGTCTATTGACCCTTCCATGTGTCGTTTCCCGAACATTTTGGGCACGACCTAATCGTGACATTAGGAGCTCCACATCTGTAGCAATGAGTCCTTTTTGGTTTTGAGCATTCTCGGTTCATATGTCCGGTCTTCTGGCAATTCCAGCAGGTTAACGTTGAGACGCGACCATAAGGTAGGCGAGAATGTTGAGAACTGATGACGTCAACATCGGCAGATGTTTCCAGCTCAGTATCAGCTGTGGAAGAGGTAGATACAAAGGCTAAATCCGGTTCCACAAATGTGTTCTTTTTTCTTGATGGCGGTACATAGTGATCAACTCTATATTTCTTCGTTTCCAGTTTTAAGCACTCGTCCTCCAATTCTTCTATTGAGCTTCGACGGGAAGCTGAGTTCCATAAAATGGAGCCAAATTCCTTATAACGATATCCAGCTGTACGTCGAGCGAAATACCTCCATACCTTCTAAAAAGTCCACTTATATCAGACAAGTAACTAACTATCGATTCTGAGGAATCTTGGGTACGATCCATTATTTGTTTACAGTCTTGGTTCCTCGAAATGTTTCCTCAACAAATCACACAACTCGCTTCATGTTCCGAATCTATGACAGTTGGATCTATACCATTCTTTGGCTTTGGAGTTGAACAAATCTATTGCCGATTCAAAAAGTTGCTTTTCCGGAACAATCCTTGCTCTTCTGAGCTCGTTAACTCGTTCTAGAAAACTGTGCACGGATATTACTTTTGTGTTTCCCGTAAATTTGATTCCCCACTTTTCTACCTGTTGAGGTTTAGAATATGTCGGTGCCTGTGTATTTGTGTTAGATGTCGACGCTATGGCGGGAGAATTATTAGAACTATTAGGCGATGAAGTATTTGCGGCGGTTGGGATACAACAGAAACATTGTCATCATCCGACTCAGACGAGTCACTCAAACGAGTTTGGTTCAACATAGAACTCAAATTGGGATCCTGTTTAGTACGCTTCTCTAATGTATCCAAGGCATTAAGAATTTCCATGAGCAGATTTGCTTTTAGTCTAACTTGTTCACTGGTCAGTTGATCGTTGGGCATAAGATCCACTCTACGAAGGAAATGCACCAATCTGGATTGTAAACGTTCAAATTTTATTTTGGCCTTGGAACCAGTGAAATAATTCATGAGAGTTGTAATCTCTGTTACACAATCTTGTATATACTTAGCGTCAAAAACGAAAGTATAATCTGGGTAGCTCAATGATTGGTTTCTTCTCTCCAATCTTATCAAAGGCCTTAGCGCTGCTTTCATTTTCTCCATCGTCGAAGTGTCATCCACTGGAATGCCTCTTAGTTTCAATTCCCATAGCAATTCAGGGTCCCTCAAATTATCGGCTCTCAGTTTATAATCCATTTCTATTTTGTAAATCACCCACCAGATTGTAGATACAAGCTCTAGATAAAATAAAGCCCAAATCCAACAATACGAAATAAGTCTTAAGTCAGGCAAAAAGATTCAAGGTATAAAACGTAAAGAACTTTATTTTGTGTAAGAAAGGCGCACACAACTATTTACTAACACCACGTATGAGTAGGTACATCTAAATAACTAAGCAAAAAAAATTGAGTTTTTTTTTTTTTAAATAAATAAAAAATTGACAGTAAATTTTATTCTTGGTTGAATAAAATGAGAAAGCGAACTGTTTAAATTTAATTTCAAAATATTCAAAAACAAGCGAAATAGTTACTGCGCAGGCGTGAGACTTCAAATCTAAATTGTCTCAGAACAAAAGATACTTAAATAAGCATCAAAATTTAATACTAGTTTCAAGCAATGCAATAATAATATCGCCCCACGTTGGGCGCCAAATTGCCACGCCCAAAAAATGATGATTGTTGCTCAAACCTTGTAATGGCAAAAAATGAAATGTTACATGGCAACAAAATTAATCAGCAGAAGACGTCAAAAGCAGCAACCAGATCAACACCAAGACCAAAACGAAGAAATAGAGTTGAAGTCTCTCCTCTACATTTTTCCATACATTGTTTTATGTATTTGCAGTTTTGATCACGATTACTTTATCAAAAATTATTATAAAAAGAATGGTAAGATTTGGAATTAAATCAGTATTCATCTAGCTTCAAATAGGTGTTTTACTCATAAACATTTCCTTCTTGGCCATCTCAGAGAGTGAGGCTGCTCTCTGGCAGAAAATATAAAATTGCCCGGCTGCTCAACCAAGCCGGGTTGAGCAAGTGCAATTTCCAAGCACAGCCTGCACACTATTTTTTTTAATCCAAAAAATCCAGGTCAATTGGAGGTTTTTGAGACACCTCTTTCCAAAACCTTCAACACCTCAATATAAAATCTTAAGAACGAAGAAAATTAGATTTGAAGCAAATATATAAAACGCAAAATATGAATTTAAAAAAAAAAGCAACACACCTTTATAAAGCATATTATTACTCATGCTCCGGTCGGCTAAACTGTCCTGAGAGCCTCTGTAGTAATCGCGCTTCATGGACGAGGGGGTATAAGCTAAGCAAAAATAAAATGAAATAAAACAAAATTTGATTAATAAAAAAAATACATGCGGCTGAAAAATTGATTAAATCACCTGTTAAATTCGATGTAGACCCTTTACGCCCTCTACTCGACATTCCTTCGGCTAGCTGCACTGAGCCGCTATCGATATGGATAGTTTTCGGTCTCGGCCTCGTAGAAGCTTTCGGTCGCATCTTTGGGGTGGGTTTCAGCGACAATAGATCTTGTCTGTCGATAGTCTTACCCTGGAATATAAAACAACTATTTGAGGGCAATTTCAAACAGAACATAATTAATTTTTACTAGGATTACAAGCAGCAAAATCTCAAAGTGAAAATAGTAATGATATCACTAAAAAAATCTAACTCACCATGGACCAATAAATGAACGACATCTCGAAAATATAATGGTAATAATCTACTTGATGTTTAAACGTCACTGCGTGAGCCACAATAATATACTGGCCGATTATGTATTTACAAACAATTTTACTGTTTGGTGTGAATGCACCTTGTGGAACTCGAACCCCAAAAATAACGCGCGGAAAATCAAGAGAAAAAGTCACTTAACGGAGACGATTTGACCAGTTTTCATTTGCCTGCCATTTATATTTATGGAAAGACTTCGAGCGAACGAAACTTGCAGACGACTTGGACGGTACTGTTTGAAAGTTTACTAGGCTTTGTGGTAATGGGTTTTTGCCAAATATACAGGGTGTGAGTCCAAAACTTAGTTATACTTAGGGTACAGTTGTATTCAAGACTAGACAAAAGCCTTATGCTTTATTTTTCATGTTATAAATTGATTGAAACAAAAATTTTTGAAAAAATTAAAATAAATAGAGAATTTGCAAAAAGATCAGTCACAATGGAATTGATATTTATAATCATTAACCACAAAATAATTCGCCAAGTGTTGAGTTTTTATATTAAAGAGAGAAATAATTGTAATTCTATTTTTGGCCGCAAATTTCTTTGAATATTAATCAGAATCCGTACAAACTACTTTTTAATACACCCGGTATTTAAAATGTCCATTCCAGACACTGGAATCGTTCTTAAAAGCTCTTTAAGCTTCCCGAGTGAGACAAACGCTCTGGTTTCGTGTCAAAATACCCAATAATAAATGCAATATTTCAAGCAAGAGGCATATCTATATTTGTACACAACGATTAATGCAATGGGATTTTTTGAAATGGTCTTTCAGGCGAAGACGTATGGGTATGGCATTCTAATTTAAGACATTTACTGGCTCCGAAGAATGTCTCGCTTAAAATAGTACCGGTTTATTAAAATGACATGGTTTTTACTGTTAGGTGGCATAGGTTAAAAGTCTTAGGCCAATAATAGTGGTTGTTGTTTTTTTGCCATAAAACAACAGTTATTATTATTACACAATTTTAAACGTGATTTGCGTTTTTATTCTATTTAATTTGTACTCGACTTGCAGAGTATTTTGCAACAAGAGTAAACTAATTGGAGCTTCCTTATTTGCTGTTGGTCTCTTGCTGATAGGTTGCCCACAAATATAAAAATACTCACCTATTATATTCCAACTTTTAATAATTAGATTAACCAGAAACCAAAATAGGTTTGATAAAATTAGGTATATTTAGTGTGTATGAATAGTAATTATGGAAAATAACGACTTTTGTGGATGAAATGCAAACTATAAATGCAAAAAATTATAGAAAAATAGGACTAAGAATAAATATGAAAGTGGAAATGCAATTTTCCTGGAACAAAATATATAATCATCAACTTAACCTGGGAAATATTTTGAAGACCAAGGGTGCAATTTTCGAAACCATTCGAGTACATTTCGTACACGAAATTTGACTGAAAGCAATGTAAATTAAATGGGGAGCATTCAAATTTCGTATACGAAATGTACTCGAATGGTTTCGAAAATCATACCCCTAGTCATAAAATGGGTCCGAAAATCCGGAGAAATTCTCAAACCAAGACATAGATATCACAAAAGAAGAAGTTGAGCACACAATATCTTTGGCTAAAACCAGAAAAGCAGTAGGGCAAGACGAAGTATACATGGAAGTTTTAAAATTTCTAAAGAACGAATATTCGTTAGATACGCTGGTCAATAAGCTATTCAACTTGATTTATCGCAGGGGTAAAATTCCAGTTGCCGGATGAAATCAACCTTTGTTACACTGCCTAAAAGGCACTCAGCAAAGAAGTGTAGTGATTACTGTTCAATCAGCCTAATGAGTCATATGCTGAAAATATTTTTAATGATTATCCATAAAGGAATATACAGAAAGTGCGAATCGTTCGTGGAGATACACAGTTTGGATTTCGTAGAGGGTTTGGTACTAGAGAGGCTTTATTTGGTGTTCAGGTCTTAGTTTAGCGTTCTAGGGATGTGTCAGTGTCAGTATATGCCTGTTTCGTCCAGCTCGAAAAGCTCATAGAATATCTCAAAGAAGTTGGTCGAGACCTAAATATAATTGCCAACCTATACTGGAACCAGACAGCTCAGATAAGGATTGATGGCCAATTGTCCGAAGATGTTCGAACACGGAGAGGTGTTCGCCAAGGTTGCATAATGTCTCCACTTTTGTTCAATATCTACAGTAATGAAATCATAGGGAACGCACTGCACAACTGCAAAGATTGCTAGACTATAAATGGCATAAAAATCAACAACCTAAAGTCCGTATGACATCTGTGTATTTTTCTGTGAATTTATTCATGTAGTTCAGGGTGACAACCGAGAAACTTCAAACGCAACATATATCAGCATTATGAAAAACAAAATAATGTTGGCAGATACACTAGACGCTTCCTTATTATATCCAAAAAACGTCCACAACACGCAGCGTCTGACTCAGAGTGAGCGGCTGCGAACAACGTCCGTTCTCCATGTTAGGGGCGGCTGCATTCGAAGCTCGCCAATACGCTCGGCAAGTGAGGCGTTTAAATTGCCGAACTCTTCAAGATTAAACATGCGAAAAGTCGAGTTAGAAAAAAATCCTCAGGTGGGTAGAGATAAAATCTCAGAATCCCACACCGATGATAGATCGGTCAACCTCACAAAATCTGAGGGAGGCAATCACTCGATTACAAACAGGAAACGAGAACAAAATAGGGCAAAACTCCAAATTGCAACATATAACATAAGAATAATGAGAACAAATGAACATTTGGAAGAGTTGGAGCAAGAACTGAATGCCATAAATTGGGACATAGTGGGACTGTGCGAAACCAGACTGGAAGGAGAGAAGAGCAAACTCAAGTCAGGGCATACTTTCTATCAATTTAACCCAAAAACTAATTACAGCAAAGGAGGAGTAGCATTTATGGTGAATAAGAACATAGAACATAATGTAAGCAAATATCAGAGAATATCAGATAGGGTCATATATATCTTGTTGAACATAAACAAGAGATATACCATGTAGCTAATACATTGCTACGCCCCAACCAGCACTTCAAGTGATGAGTCAGTAGAAGAGTTCTATGATGATATCGCCCAGGCTATAAACAGAGAAAAGCCTTACTATATTGTGGTGACAGGAGAACTAAATGCCAAGATCGGAAGTAAAAAAAAAACAAAGCGATCCCGTATACCTGGGAAATTTTGGACTAGGAAAGCGGAATGATGAGAGGAGATATGATGGCAAGTTGTATGGCCAAAGAAAAAATAATATTGCATGAACACGTTTTTCAAAAACCACCCAAACGAAAAGGGACATGGGTTAGCCCAGACAAAAAGACAAAAAATGAGATTGACTATATATTTTCCAACAAGAAGAATATTTTCAGGAATGTCTCTGTTTTAAATCGATTCAATACCGGAAGTGATCACAGGTTGGTAAGAGCTACGATAGAAATAAATGCAACACATGAAAGACAAAATTAAATGAAAAAGTCGAGGTTCCCAACAATGGAGATATTAGCCCAAAAAAAAGATGAATATCAAAATGAGCTTCAAAAGAAATTAAAATTAATTGAAACTCCAACAGAACTTAACAAGTTAGCTGAAAAAATAACAGAGTCGTCCATCCAGACAACAACAAAGAAAATATGCAGCAAAAGTAGAAATCCAAAGCACACAAAATTACGCCCAGTACTGTACTGTACATTTAATAACAGAGAGAAGAACACTGAACAGAGATGATTCACAATACAACGAGAAGAATGCAAGAGTGAAAAAAATGATAAGGACAGACCTGCGAACTTATACATCTAAAAAAATCTTAGAAACAATCGAAGCCAACAAGAATATGAAAGTACTGGAAACAATGATGGCCGGCGGACAAAAATTCATGAAACTGGATTTGAGTCAGGCTTATCTTCACATGGAAGTACATCCAGATGATCGACACTTACTTACCTTAAACACTCATAAGGGATTATATGAATGTAATCGTTTAATGTTCGGTATTTCTTCAGCTCCCGCAATTTTTCAAAGAGAAATGGAAATTCTTTTGAAAGGTATTTCGGGCGTATCAGTTTATTTAGATGATATAAAAGTGACAGGCGAGAATGATGCAATACATTTAGAAAGACTACATCAAGTTTTTCAACGACTTTCGTTACATGACCTTCATATCAATAAAGAAAAGTCAATTTTCTTTGCTGATAAAATCGAATATTGTGGCTATATAATTAATTCTCAAGGGATACACAAAATACCCGCTAAAATTAATACTATTATTGATGCGCCACAGCCAAAAGATAAAACTCAACTTAGATCATTTCTTGGCCTGGTCAATTATTATGGCAGATTTCTGCGAAATCTGAGCACTATTTTATTTCCGTTAACTCGTTTATTACATAAAAATTCCAAATTTGTCTGGTCAAAAGAATGTGAACAGTCTTTCAAAAACGTGAAACAAATTATAGCGGGAAGTGACTTCTTAACACATTTCAATCCACAACTACCTTTAATACTTGCTACTGATGCTTCACCTTACGGTGTAGGCGCTGTACTGTCACACAAATTTCCTGATGGTTCTGAGAGGCCGATTCAATTCGCTTCACAAACTCTTTCATTAACTCAGCAGAAGTATTCTCAGATCGATCGAGAGGCATACGGTATTATTTTTGGAGTGCGAAAGTTTTATCAATATCTTTTTGGAAATCGTTTTACACTTATTACAGACCATAAACCTTTACTACAGATATTTTCACCTCATAAAACACTACCTACATTAACAGCTACAAGAATGCAACATTATGCGATTTATTTACAATCATTCAATTATGATATTCAATACAGATCTAGTAAAGAACACGGGAATGCGGATTTTTGTTCTCGCTTACCGTTAGAGTCTGAATCTCTTATACAGTTTGATGCTTCAGATCAATGACCTATTACTTCAGATCTATTCGAGATCAAGCAAATTGA